TAATTGCATAACAATACAATATCACTTCAAAAATTATACATTTCAATAGCAAATTTAGTTACATAATTCTAATATCCACCTCTAAAAAAATTAGTTTCTAATTCTAAAATACTACTTTACAAATCAAAATACTTCTTACATCACATTAAGCATCACAAAAGAAGTTAGAATCTTTATTTCCATTCCGCTTGCGTAGGAGATTGTGTATCATCATTGAAACCAAAGTCATCTAGCCCAACGCCACTACTTTCATGGCTACCGGCTCTCTGGAAATTAAGATCAGTAGATTGGAAACACTTAATACATATACAGTTACAAATAATATAGAAATGTGAAAACAGGACCATAAAAGTTCATACCTTGCTTGTGTTGACTATATTTTTGGAGGACAACACCAAGAGAGACTATAAGCTCTACAAATAGTTCATTGCTATGCACAAGCTCTACAAATAGACTGACCCAACAGATGAAAATATGATTCAATATAAAAAAGCACAAGCTGAACTTACAAGTTTCATTATCAAAGCTGTCATGCCAGTGACTATGAACTAATTATTAGGAACCATCTACTTTAATTTATAATTATAGTAAAGAGTTAGTGATCTAAGATTTCATGCCATGATAATATCTTATATTAATGAAATTATAAAGGGTTTACCCTGAGAAAGTATATGTTCACATCAGGCTTTTCCAACTGTCATCATGGTGACACTTGGATCAATTTGGGGAGGCAGAGGAATCTGGATTTGATATTTATTCTGATCAACGCTGCAAAATATATCAAAATAAATTAAAATCACCAAAAAGTAGCAGGCTAGAACTCTTACTCCTAGAATAAATAGCTTCCCTATCTCACAGTTCAATCCAAGTAATAACTTAGAACATTCATTTAATGGCTGCACAGCATATAGAATACAAACAGTGAGACATCAATCGCCCAGACCTTTAGCATAGCATATAGGAGGGGGAAAGAGAACATACCCAACTCGCATGCCCTCTTCAATATCAGTTGGTGAAACTTTGTCACCAAATCCAACAATAAACTGCAGCAATAAACTGCAGGAATAAAAAGGGTGTAATATCAGTCAACCAATTGAGACTATTTTCTCAGGTAACTCACTAGCATATACAATTTGTCCCCATATATTGGATAGTGCATACATACAGTGATCAATAAAAGGAAAGCCATCATACCTTTGCTATTTGCTTGACATTTATCACATATTTTGCATCTTCAGTATTAGGACTGATTATTTTTGTACATCTCACCACCTGTCCACAAGCAGCAACTTATAGTTTAAAGTATGTGAGTGATAAAAGAACCCATGTTCAAATCTTGCCCATAGACAAACCTGAAGGGGTTGCTCTTCTTGCATCATTTGCTTATCAGAAACCAAATCCCATTGGCTTGGTGCAGCTAAGCCAGGGTCAGATTCCGTTATACCTAGAGCAACATAAAAATTATTTTCATATATAATATTTTTTTAAAAAAAAAAACCAGAAAAACAACAGGAAATCACTGCTATAAGTTCACTTTTCAACCCAAAGCAATGATCCACCCAACAAGCACTAAAAGCTATTGATATGTTGTAATATTGTATGCCCATGAACCATGAAACACATATTGTATAAGAAAAAAAAATATTTAGACTAAGACCAGAAACATGCCACATAAATCATTAATCTTTTTAGCCATTTCCTTGATTTCCTTTTCAGCTTTCTTTATGCTTGTTGAATAAGGTCCCAGGCCCTACAAAAATCATTAAAATATCAAAGATAGTTACTAAGTTACAAAAGCAATTTAATGAAACAAAAAGTTATTAACACAAAATTACTTAGGGAGAATACTACTATAGTACACCAAATTTAGAAATACAGCATTTTGATAGAGTTAGAGATCCCCAACGGAATACACTAATGGGTTAACCTTAGGTCACCTATTGTTGAATGGACATAGACAATAGAACATGGTTCAACAGGATCAGTTCTACTTTTATATTTCTGGAGTAGCAGACAACCTAAGCTACTGTAGCCAAGAGGCATGAGTGTATGATAGAAATATTGCACATAATTCAGCAATTCATTCACCCTGTGCCCTGTGGGGAGAAAAAGTTATACCTTGAGGCTGCTGGTATAAAAATTCAAAAGCCGATAGCAGAGTAGCACTGCAGATCAGCAGATGCGACACTTACAAAGTGTAGATAAACCTTCATACCAAAATTCACAATTAACAATTCAGGAATTCTAAAAAAAAAAAAAAAAAATCACAGTATAGTGGACAGAGTTGCTAGCAAAGCTTGAAAAACCCTAGTGGCATGAGCTGATTTAGAAGTAAAACACGGTGGCAAACATCAAACAACTCCACTTGATTACAAAGTCAAGCACAAAAAGGGGAAATCTCGGTCAAATAGAATGCTTGACATAAACAAGAAAAAGATAAACAGTATAAAGAAACTTACAAATACCTTACTTGAAGCAGGTTTCAATTAGGTCAAAAAGATCTTCCACTATTTCATATATATTCAACATCCTGTGCAAAAAAAAAATCTTCTACATACATATAAATATACCTAACTCATTAAAACTCTAAATTAGGTCAACAAATTAAAACAACCCAACATTGCTTACGTGAAGGGCGATGGTGCCGGTGGGTTGCTGCCGCTAGTGGCTCCTGAGTTGGTGCCGGTGCTGGAGGCGTGAAGGAGGAAGGCCGAATGGGAAATTGATGGAGGGAGAAGTGAAGGGCTGCGCTGAGAGTGAGAGAGCGAAGGAGTGAAGGAGGGAAAAGCGAAGGATTGGCAAATTTTTGGGGCAAAATATGAGAATGAGGGAGTGAAAGAGCGAAGGAGGGAGTAGTGTAAAAGGAATGGAGCGAAAATTTGGGGCTAAATGAATGGCGCCAATTTGGGGTGAAATCTTAGCCAGATATTTTTTTTTTCATTATTCTAGTTTATCAATTATACTTTTATACTAAAGATATAATTCTCAAACACTAATTAAAATAAATATTAAAATAATTTGTTAAGACCTTTGATCTAATGACAGTAAAGTTACCATTCCATATAGGAGGTTCTGAGTTTGAACTTCATTGAAAGCAAGAGTTAGTAGCATTAAAAAAATATATTAAAGTAATTTAAATATTTAAATTTCAAATCTAAATTAAAAATCACCCCATTACATTGTTTTAAATTTCAAATATTTATAAATGTGTATTTTTTATAATTTTTATAAAGAAATTTTTTATTATAATTATATACTAACGTAGATATTTCTATACAATAGGCTGTAGATGAGGTCAACTAATCTAATACAAGGAGGAGATGAGGAGAGACAAGATCGACGCATCTTGTTGAACCCAGGCAGCGTAGGGCGGGTTTGCAGTGGCGGTGATGGCTGAGACAGCTTCGTCGGAGCCGTCGCCGGCGACAGCCTCCAGAATTGACGACGGGCACGATCGACCACCATCGACAAAACCTAACAAACCTTGGCCACGGAGGAAGGGAATGATTTGGGTACGCCAAAAAAGGTATTTGCGGGATGTTAATTTGATTGAGATAAAGTGGTGGACGGAGTTTAGGGAGTTGGAGGTGGCGGTCGGGGAAGAGATGGTGGTTGCCGTAAGAGTGCGTTCTGATGCACTGGTCGACATTGTCGATTGGAGAAGAGAGAGAAGATAAGTTTGGCTAACTAATACCAAATGAGAATGGGAAAACTATTCAATTCAACAACAGAATCCTGAAAGGATAATACAAGCAAATAGTAACGTAGATGTTCATATACAATAGGCTGTAGATGAGGTCAACTAATCTAAGTCACATATATTATTAACTACACTAACTACTGTTGTCATATGAATGTTTGTATTCTGCGATAAAAATAATATGCGCAGTACAATACACGATGATATACAATACATTATGTAGGAATATGAAACTGAATAGAACTAGGACTGTAGAGTCCTAACAAGAATAAAGGTTTTAAAGAGTTGAAGTTCGAAAATGATTTCATGTATCTATATGGAATAAGCAACATCGTCTTATTTTTCATATCAAGAATGGTGAGTTGGTATTCACTAGTAAACTCTATGCGTTATTGTCGATTGAAATTGAAAAAAAAAAAAGTATGTGTGAAATAATCAATTATATATATAAAAAAATCATGTGACCTTCATGGAAAATTATATTGTGCACTAGGGTGCATAATGCATTGTGAGCTCTAAAAGTTTATGTTTATTATGTTAAGAGTTTATGTTTATTATGTTATGAATTGATGTGTATTATGTTAAGAGTTTATGTGTATTATGGGCTTTCATACCATTGAACCACAATAATAATTAAAAAAAAAAAAATTCCAACTACCTTTACTTTGTGGTTGGTATTTTCTACAACTCCTTAGTATACAAAGTTAAACTTCCAAAAATATTTCATACTTAATATACAAATTTAAACTCCCAAAAAATATTCCGACCACAATCCAAAGGTGGTCGGAATTACCGACCACTAGGGTGGTCGCAAACGAAGTAATTTCAAAAATCAAATTTGGCAAAACGTTTCCGACCACAATGTAAATAGTGGTCGGAAATAGCGACCAAGTATTGAAAGTGGTCGGAATTTACGACCACTTTCCGACCACTACAACCTCCTGTAGCAAAAATGGAAAAAAGTTACTTTTTGCGGCCAAATTTTTGGGTGGTCGGAAAATCGCGAAATTCCAGCAGTGTTAGTGGATTGGCTGACGTGAATTGACCCGTAGATGTAGGAGTTTAACTTCGAACTACGTGAACAATTTCTGTGTTCTGGGTTTTATTTTCTTACCTTTAATTTATGTTTATTTATTCGTCAATCAACATAATTAATGGTACGTTAATTTTTTAATTAAAATTAAGTAGAATTCTAGGAATTAACTTGCATTATATTCAAGATCCACGTACTTTTTCAGTAATTGTTACATATAATCGTAACAGTAAAGTGACAAAGTTCCTTACATAATTTATAGAGTTAATTATCAAAATGGTCCCGTGACTATAGCGAAATTACCAATTTGGTCCTTGATTATTTTTTTTAACCAATTGAGTCTCTCAACTTTATAAATAACCGAGAAGAAAACAAAACACACATAGATATAATAGATAGAAGGAGATAGCCTAAATTGACGTAATTGCCCTTCTCTCATACGGTTATCTAACAAAAATATAGACGGATGACCAAAAATGTCCTCGCCACAATAACTCTGTCCATAAAATGACAAATTTTTTTATAAAGGACAAAAATTGTCCAAGCCACTATAAGTCCATGACCAAAAATGTCTTTTACTCCTAAATTATATTAACATTAGGTTTGGTAGGGAGTGGTGAGTAGAGCCTCCATCCCTGCCCCAATTTCGTCAAATCGGAGATGTAAACAAAAAACAAATATCTAAATACATAATGCACCGGGGCATACCCCTGAATACACAAAACATAAAAATAACCAAACAAACGAAAATACATGTCCAACATCGGCTAAACCCCAATTAAACTAGAGCAAAATTAATTAAAATAAAGCTTAAGCCTAATTTACCAAGTCGTGACTTCCATTCACGCCGCGCCATGCACGTCTAACTCCATAAAAACATAAAATCAATTGTCAATGCTACAAGAAGATTGAATCCTGGCCGGAAGTCCCACCGTGCGCCCGCTTTACCACTGCAATACATTCAGCTTCTTTTTTTTTTTTTTTTTTTTTTTTTTGAAACAAAACCAAATAACATTAAATTAACGTAGATGTTCAATACAAATAGGAAAAGTAAAAAACCAACAAGAAAGACCAGTCTGAGAACGAGTAGCTCTTGTCAAAGTATGAGCAAACCAATTCACTGATCTAGAAACATATTGAATAGACACTAACTCAAAGTGTCGTTTTAAGGCTCGACACTCACGAATAACACAGCCTGCGTATGATAGATCTTGAGATGAGCCATTTAGTAACCCGCAAACATTTTGACAATCAGAGAAAATGAGGATCTTTGCAAAACCCAACTCCTTTACCCAAGATAAAGCTTCCTTCACTGCGAGGGCTTCGGCCAAGTGCGCATTATTTAGACAACGGATAGGACCATTTTTTGCAGCTACAAACTCTCCACTGCTATCCATCACAAAAACCCCATAATAAGCCTCAGCGTCAACATTATAAACCGTGGCATCCACATAAATGCTCATAATACCTGGGTCTACAACTGGGAGTGAATTCAAGCTTGAAACATGCACATTGTTATTTGCTTCCAAATCTGCCTCTCCCTGCCAATCCAAAACCATATTAGCCACTTCAAACATAATTGAAGCAGGATCCCAAGTTTTACTATTTCATACCAGATCATTACGTCCCTTCCAGATGCTCCAACCAATGGCGATACATTTCATTACGAGGCCATTCTCACCAAGTGTCAGCCACATCAAGAACCAAGCAGCAAAATCATCATGCACGTTCGGCACTGGGCAATTCACATCATTCCAGAGAGGCTGCACACGAGAGCAATTAGCAAAGAGATGCATTATTGTTTCCGGCTCAAAACGACATAACGGACAGATTATATCCACATTTACCCTCCGATTAGCAAGAGCCGTCATGGTCGGCAGAATACCATGAATACAACGCCAAACAAAATTAAGAGCTTTAGGAGGAATTTTTATTTTCCAGCTTGGTCATTGACTATTTTTTTAACTAATTGAGTCTCTCAACTTTAAATTTTTTAACCAATTTGATCCTTCGTTTGTTTGACCGTTAGTCAACGGTTAACTTGTGACCAAATTGGTTATTATAATATATATATATATATATATATATATATATATATATATATATATATATATATAGGGTTCGAATCAGGTGCACCGCTCTAATAGATGAGACCATGAGGCCTCCTAATATCCATTGATTCAATTTCCATCAATGGTTGAGATTATAAGAAATTAGGGTAGTAATTAAGGACATTTACCAATGTAAAGGTTATATTAGTAATTGTAATTCTAATTTATTTATGGACATAATATTATTGGAATGTGAAGCATTATTTTAGGGATTTGTGGATGGAAATTAATAGTTTCAATTATTACAAAGCTTGAAGAAGTGAACGTGGCGTGGACAATGCTAAAGGAGAAAATGAAGCGATGGGAGGGCAGGAACAACACTGGAGCACATTTCTCAAATGGCTAGTAGCAGTACCGGTAAGTGCATTCACATGTCAACGTCTGTGCATATACTGAAGAATGGGGTTTCCCCCCGGTGTGGGTGGGAGGGGAGGTGTGGTTGTTGGACGAAGTAGTAGTCCATTGACGTGTGTAGGGTGTTCGTGTTCAGGTGGGTGCGTACATGGTTATTTGTTTGACCGATAGGATGGCGGGATGATGGGTAGACAGCAAATAGTATGTGCGTAGACATCCCATCCATTTGTTAATTTGTAATGGATGGATGAGATTGAATGAGGAATATAATGTAAATAAGGACATATTTTAAATAGGTGGGTTTAAAAGTAATTGTATTAATGTGCTAATTTTGGTTAGAAGTAGATTGGAATCTTTGACATAATGAAAGACCACATTAGAAGTAAATTGGCATGTGCATGTTGTAGATTAAGGGGGTTTGGAATTTGTTTGTTTTTCATTTCGTATCCAAAATAATTATTATAAAGGGATGTGCGTGTAATGATATTGTTAGTTCTTTTTGAATGAAGTAGACGGTATAGGTATTATTTGGTTGA